GTGGGCATGAACACTTCTCAACTTGTAGAGATTGCCTTTAAGGTATATAATAACCGAGACCAGGGGCAGGAGAAACAGAAGCAAAGAGAGATGAAGCAACAGGCTGCCCTACTGGCTGCTGCTTAGGGAGGCCCGCCATGAAATCAATCCTGCTGGGTAACTAAGTCCCCATGGACCCCCAGTGAATAAAAAGAGAGTAAGTCAACCTTCTCCTGCTTGAGGAGGCCAGCCAAAAACGTTGGGGCCTCAACATTGTGCTACTGCAAGAAGGATGGGCACTGAAGGAGGGAATGCCCAAAGCGAGCCCTCCAAAAATGACCAGAATGGGCCCAGAAGATGGTAAGCACAGCTGACAGCTATCAAGAGGGATAGAGCCCAGGGGCTCCATTGCCCACTGGGCAAATCCCTATTTCCCATGAGGAACCCCTAGGTAGCTGTAACAGTGGGAAACCAGCCTGTTGAGTTTTTAACGGATGTAAAAGCAATTTTGCTGGTGCAGTGCCTAAGGCATTTGACTGTTTACCAGAAGGTTGGCAGTTCAAACACATCAGAAACTATGCAGAAAGAAAATAGGGCAATCTACTTCCATTAGGATTTACCACCTCAGAAACCCAATGGGGGTTGTTATGAGTCAGAATCAATTTGATAGCAGTGGATTTGGTTTAGTTTATGGAGGCAATTTAAGGCAAGGCCCTCTCCACACAAAACAATGAACATTGCCAGAGTCTCAGAAGACTGCATGTAAAAATTTTTCTTCGGCTTCTTGAGTGCCACGTGAAGAGTAGTACTGTTTGAACTTGTTGCTATACGTGCCTGAATGTTGCTTTCCTCTTTTCAGACAAGACTTGCTAACCAACTTGAATCCTCAAGATGCTTTCTCAGCTGACAAACTCCAGGTGAATGCTATCCCTGACCACGTGTGGGCCCTGTAGGCAGCCCTCCTACAGTTACCTGCTGCTGTTCCTGAGGGGTCCCACAAGAAATCCCACAACAGGTGAGGTGCAGCCTACCTCCAGCGGTAAAAGGAGCTCAAGCAAGAGACTAGGCCCATGGGAAGATTGGCAGGTAGATTTTACTGGTATGCCTATAGTCCCTGGCAAAATCAAGTACCTATTAATATTTGTGGACACTTTTCACTGGAGGGGTGGAAGCCTTTCCTTATCCATGGAAGAAGCAGCAGGGGTGAGTAAAACCACTAAGAGAAATTGTTCCCCGATTTGGCCTCCAGTCTTATTTCAAAGTGATAACAGGGAGCATGTGTAGCCCAAGTAGTCTAACAGGAAACAAGACTTTTAGACATTAAGTGGCAATTATATTCCTCTTGGAGGCTCCAGCCAACAGAGAAAACTGAGAAGATGAACCACACCCTCAAGAAGACACCAAGAGACCAACTTGATCTTGGATACAGCTTTTATCTCTTGCCCTGTTGTGGGACTGGGTTGCTCCTAGAAGCAGGCTTGGGTTGTTGTTGTTGTTGTTGTTATGTGCCGTCCAGTCGCCCTAGACTCATAGCGATCCCTCCTTGGGTTTCCGAGGCAGTGTCACTACGGAAGTAGATTGCCCAACCTTCCTTCCGAGGAGTGGCTGGTGGGTTTGAACCACCAGCCTTCTGGTTAGCAGTCAAGTGCCTTAGGCACTATGCTACCAAAGCTCACATAAGTCATTTTCTAATGTGTGGCACTCCAGTTATGCAGGAAAGGGAGACCATAAACTATTAAGGAATTAGTTATTTTTAACATGTGCAAACTTTGTCTGCCACCTGGAAGGCTATTGACCAGCTTGCTTCCAGCAGGTTGCTATATCCTACAGATACTCTTCATAACATCTGTCCAGTTGACTGGGTTCTTCTCAAGGAGTGCACAACCCAATCCCCAAAGCCAGCTCCAGGCCAAGTGGGCTGGGCTCTATGAGGTCTTGCCAATGGTGCACTCCTCAGGTAAACTCAAGGGAGTCTGAGCCTGGATCTATCACATTTAACTGAGAGTAGCCCTTGTCCACACTGAAGACCCTCCTTGACCCGTCACTGAGCCTGATTCCCCAGGGAACAGCTTTGCAGGTTGTGAAGAGTCCAGAAGGACCTAACTGGCCCAGCACTGGCCAGGTCTACAAGCCTCTTTGTCTGCTCCCCTCCTGCATTTGGGGTGCCAAATCTAAATTATTTTAGTTGTCTGTAATCATCTACCTAGCCTCCCTATTGTGCTGCCTTTTTATGAACCTTGGTACGTTACTAACAGGACTTAATCAATTTAGCTTGTGGTGTAATATTTTGTTTTGCCTTATGAACTAAAGCCCATACTCCTTAATGCTTCTGCTTTAGCATAAGGCTTCCATTATGGTATTATTATTTATCCCAATCATCTTTTTTTTTAATGTAAGCCTGCCTCCATCCAGTACAAACTGAAAAGAGAATGCTATAATCAAACTTAGCCAAGCTGTTGCAACAGGGGCATTTGAAGGACTGCTGGGTCTAGCTACCCACACCAGCTTGACACCCCATTCCCCAAGAATGTGGAACAATAACCACTCAAAGGGGGGGATTGAAGCCGAGTTGAATTATAGTTCAATTCCTCATCCTTTCTATAACCATCCTCACCCCGGTTGGAGACAGATGAGTGGTCATAATTTTTTTCCTTGAAAGCTGAGTTAAAAGGAAGCTCAATTCCCCACCCTTCCTATAACCATCCCCCACCCTAGCTGGAGACAGATGAATAGGTATGATAATGTGTTTCCTTAAAGTTGTTTTTCAGAACAACTGATACCAACTTGGATTCAGTTAAAACCAGCTCAGATCAGTTTTGGCCCGTGGGCATGTGCAGTGAGACAAATGGGAACAAAGTTCTTGGAACTAACATCTCCCCCTCTGCCTAAGCCCCATCAGCTGATGACAGGAAATTGGTGTAACTCATCCTGTGTGCAAGTGCACTGCATTAAAATTGACTGTTCTTTTAAACTGAGGCAAACAAAACCTCAGCCAATCTCCAACTAATTCACCCCCAAATTCCTGAAATGTATATGAATAGGTACAGACCCCTTTCTTGAACTATTCAAAAACTAAACCCCAGCCGCAACTCGGAGAGTCAGATTTGGCTACTGGCCCCTGTCTCCTTACCATGCACATGGTAATAAATTATCTTTCTCATCTCTCAAATACATGGGGTGCATGAACTGATTTGGTTTAATCGCACACTGGGCAGGGACTAACTTTAGTCAGACTTCAAGATCAGACACTTCCACCACACTTGTTTTGACAACAGTAGCTCTAAAACATTGAAGAGAAGTTTTAGAGACAGAGTCTAAGTTAACGGTGGTGAAACAGTATGGATAGAGAAGGAAAATGGTGACACAATGATAAGACGGTAAGGCAATGCCACTGAAGGACACATGGTGACAATGAGAAGGCTGTAACCAATGCTACTGAAAGGGCACCTGTGGAAAATGTTAAAGTGAGTGTATGTTTTGTTGTGTACATTTTCACCACAGAAACTAAAGGAAACCCTGGCCCACCCTGATATTCTGACTTAACAGGTCTGGGGAGGGGCCCTGGCACCCAGCTTTTTAGGAAAGTTCCACAAGGATTCTAACATGCACTTGGAGTGGAGAGCCCTGCTGTCTTTGGTCAGACAACAACACAAAGGCACTCCAAGAAAAAAAACGGAAAAAAAGAAACTCACTGCCATTGAGTTGATTCCAACTCCTACTGACCCCCATTGGGTTTGATCCCCATTGGGTTTCCAAGGCTGTAAATCTTTATGGAAGCAGATGCCTCCGCTTTCTTCAATGGAACAGCTGGTGGTATTGAACCACTGACCTTCTGGTTTGCAGCCAAATGCCTTAACCAAGCAACTCACTAAAAACTCACTGCCATCAAGTCGGATGCCACTCATAATGACCCCTCCTTGGGTTTCCGAGGCAGTATCACTACCACCAGAGCCGGCCCTAGTTAAAACAAGGCAGCAGAGAATGACAGCGCTAAGGTTGGAAAGGGAGCTCTGGTAGTGTAGTGCCAAGGCATCTGACTGCTAACCAGAAGGCTGGCAGTTCAAACCCACCAGCCACTCCTGGGAAGGAAGACTGAGCAATTGGTTGCTATGAGTTGGAATGGACTAAAGGGCAGTGAATTTGGTGGTTTTTTTTTTTTTTTTTGTTTGAGGTTGGAGAAGGTGTTGGAATTAGCTGGAGTTCTAGAACCTGGCGAAGGGATCAGAATTCTCCCTTCTAGCCAGTGGGAAAGGGAGCTGAATGCCAGGGCAGTTTTCAAGGTAGGCGCGCTTAGAACTAGGAAGGGGAAGGGGAGGGGCCCAGACATTCAGATGGCGGTGGAGAGCGGAGGCGACAGGGAAGTCAACATGGAAGTGACAGGAGTGAAAATCGGAGAGCCAGGCGGAAGCGAAGGAGGCAGCCGCGGGAAGGCAGATAAAAAGAGGCTCGAGGCTAGGCAGTGAGACCTGGAGGAAGTGGGACAATCGCCAGAAGGGATGGCAGGGCGTGGCGCCATGCTCCTCCAGGAAGAAACTCTGGGACAGCGAGGGTGCAGCTGAGCGGTACAGAGACACACGGAAGTGCCCATGCACACGTATGCGCGCCCACACGTACACACACAAGCACATAGATCACCCTCCGTCCCCGCACGCTCTGTTCACGCACACTCCGCGGCCCCGCGCTTCCGGGAGACGAGTGGAGCGCGGAACCGACCCTCAGCAAGCCGCCAGCCCCTCCCTGCCATGCCCCAGCAAAGGCTTGCGCAACAGGCGGTGGCTCCGCAGGCGCGGGCTGCGCGCGGTCCCAGTCCCGCCTTGCGCGCAGGCGGGGTGGGAGCCGCGCCCGGAGGAGGGGACCGGGAAGGGGTGGGCCTCCTCCGCGCGCGGGCCCGGGAGGGCCTGGGAGGGGCGAGGGCGGGACCACGGTGCCTATAAAGTCGCCCTCGGCGGGGACATAAACAAACCTCGCCTGGCTCCCCGCTCATCCCCGAGCGCTAGCCTCTCCTCGCTTCTTGCCTTGGCTCGGCTGGGCGCCGCGCCGCCACCCAGCACCAGTCGCTTTGCCTTTCTCCCTCTGCCTTAGGTAAGCCGCCGCCCTCTTCCTCCCAGGCACTTCGAGGAGCCGAGAAGGGACGCCCGCGGGGTCCTGCTAAGGCGCCTGGACCGCCTGTGTGGACCCGCGGGCTCCCGGACCCGGACCCAACACTCGAAACAGACAGTGCTCGGCCACCTGGTGGCGTGGGCGCGGGCACCACTAGGGTGGAGGTTTACATTACGGAAGAGGAGATGAAAAAGACAAATCGCCTTTCACCTTCCTCCAAGCTGGAGAAGTGGGGTGCCGGGAATCAAAGAGGGGTGGGGAGTGGACGGGGGACACCTGGATCGCGCCTCCAGAGCGCATTCCTAACAGCACAGCTGGCACCGCCTCCAAGGAGCGTGTACTGGAAGTGGGGGCAGGAGGCAGGACGAGGGTGAGCGTGTGTGTGTGTGTGTGTGTGTGTGTGTGTGTGTGTGGTGGGGTGTAACCGTGAGTATTGCGCTGGAGGAAAAGGAGATCGCGTGTGCGCGTGTGTACACAGGGATAGCGAGACAAGAGTGGCGCCAGAGATGCGGCTAAAGAAGGCAGTGTGGGTGTGTCTGGTTCCCAGACTGAGTGGGGGCAAGAACGCATGTGGGTCTGAGGAGAGAGCGCTGATCCAGCCTCAAAGCAGTGCTGGGTATGTGTGTTAGGGGACGGTCTGGCATGTGTCGCAGCCTGTGTGACTTGAGCAGGAGCGAATGTCCACAAGCGCTGCTGGACAGGGTGTGTCCCCTGAGGTGGCCAGGGGTTGGAGCTGTGAGGACGCGGGAGATGTGGCCTGGAGGAAAGGGGTCATGCAGGCCTCTGGCGGTCTTTGCTCTGTCTAGGGCAAGGGGTGCGTCATTTTGGTCCCTGCCCACCTCCCCGCTCTCCTCCTGGTGCCTCCCTCTCCGCCTCCTCTCAGGCTCTCCCCTGGGGAGAGCCGCTGGGGTTGCTTGGCCATTCCCTCGTCCGGAGAAGCGCCATGGTCTGTGATTCAGCCCGGAGGAGGAGACTCTGGCAGGCCTTGTGGAATGCAGCAGGCTCGGGTTCCTGCGGACAGAGGCCTTTGCTGCTTCTGCTTCTGTCAAATTAGTAGCACAAGCTGGGGTTCAGCGCTCGGGTTCCTCCCCCACCAGCGGCGTCACTGCGGGGCTGGAGGGGGAGCAGATGGCACCAGGTGACACTGTCAGAGGGGAGGTGACACCAAAATGACCATCTATAAAATTTTTGTGCAGTATTTCAGCAAAAAGTTATGATTTGTTATCCCTGCGGTTAGCTTTAAGTCCGGTTTACACATATCAGTACACCTATATGGCTAAAACTATGTTCATTTCCCCTTTGAAGGCTGGAATGTGCTCTGGTTGGAGCTGTCATTATTACCCCCTTAGTCACACTGACCCTGCACTGAAGGCCCCATCTTGTGGTTTTATCTGAAGTGCTGCAAACACTTGCCCTTGTCTGCTTTGCTGCTGTTTTTATAGTGGCTGATTTTTCTCTAGCGAGCCCTGGTGGCGCAGTGCTTAAAACTCTTGGCTGCTATCAAAAAGGTTCGGTTGGAACCCACTTAAGGGAGAAGGAAGTGACAGTCTGCTTCTGTAAATATCACAGTCTGGGAAACCCTGAGGGTCAGTTCTGCTCTATCCTGTAGGGTCGCTTTGGGTCAGAATCAACTCCATGGCAGTGACTGGGTATATAGTGGTTAAGGTGGTGCAGTTGTTAAGTGCTCGGCTGCTAACCAAAGGATTGGTGGTTCGAACCCACCAGCTTTTCTGTGAGAGAAAGATGTGGCAGTCTGTTTCTGTAAAGATTTATAGTCTTGGAAACACTATGGGGCAGTTTTCCTCTGCCCTACTGGATCACACTGAGTCAGAATCCACTCCTCCAGCAGTGTATTATTTTGACTTGGATTTTGTCCAATTTCCTGATATTTTAGCTACAATACTGTAGTAGTATTTGTGAACCTCTATCAGTACCTTTCTTGAGAATGAACATGAAATTGTAATTAAAGAAAAAGGAAAAAATTTAAAAAGGCTTCTGCTTAGTTACTAATAATGTTATAACTAATAATGTTGTCACTCAATGTAGAAAGGTTTTACAAAACACTTTTATTA